GCCGCGGTCGGGCCGCGCCGACTCCGCCCCCCGCCGGAAGGGGGCGGAGCTGGGTCCAGCGCGCGCGCGGCTCCGCCCGCCCTCCGCTTTCCCGCCTCTGGCGTGAGGGGCCCCCGGCGGGACGGGCCCGGGAAGCGGGAGCGGGACGGATTTAAAGCCATTTCGTTTTTGTTCTTACAGCTCTGAAGTGCCTGGGGCAGGCGGGGGAAGCGCGAAGCAGCTTCTTTCCCAGGCCCCCTGAGCTACAGAACTGAAAAGAACCTCAGAGATGGTCCTGACGCTTCTTAGGAAAAAAAAAAAAATAAAATTACACCGTCATCACAACTCACTCCTCAGATGAGGCGTTTACTATTAATGTAGTTTTGACAGAATCACAGAACCGATTAGTTTAGAAAAGGCCTCTGAGATCAAGTCCAACCTATAAGCAAACACCACCATGTCAACCAGACCATGGCACCGAGTGCCACATCCAGGCTCTCCTTAAACACCTCCAGGGACGGCGACTTCACCACCTCCCTAGGCAGCCCATTCCAATGGCTAATTACCTTTAATGTGAAGAAAAACTGTCCCCCCACCGTCCAACCCAAACCTCCCTTGTCACAGCTTAGGAGTGAACAACCTCTCATGCTTCTCTTTCTCCCAGGCAACCACAGACAGGAAGGCTCCTTCGAGGCAGTTCTTGAAGAGGTTTTGAAGTTTGCTTCAAATCCCAGGTAATGGAATACAACCCTCTTCCAACTCAGACAGCATTTGATGAACACACATATTCTCTTAATTTCTGAGGTTCTTCTGTGACACTTCCAGCATTTTACAAGGTAACACACTGCTGTAAGCATTAAACTATTGTCCCTCAACTGCACTTTAGGCTGAGACCTTCATATTCCATAACCACACTTGCCTGCTCGATCTTGGTATTGAAAAAACCTGCCAGCTTATACTCAGACAAATGTATGACAACAGATTTAAAACAGTGCCACACAGAATGGAGATTGCCAGGTTCTGCATAAAAAATGTATTTTTTAATAATATATAAATAAGCACACTTAACTCTTACATTTTTTAGGTAATATGACAAAACCATTTTACAAACGAAAAAAAAAAATTAAAATAAAATTGCCTTCTCAAGAGGCCAGGACAAATGGGCTCCACCTTCACGGTTTTGGGCAAGGTGACACAGGATTCCAGTATAATTACCAGAGAGTGGATTTTCACCAGTCTCGCTCTCACTTGTTCAGAGCTATACGACTAAAGCCACAGATGCATTGGCTGAATAGGTACAAGACCTGATTAGTCAAGGAAAAATCTTCAAATTATGTAATATGCTTGTTGCTGAATCACAGGTACAAGCATTTGTGCTTTACATTTTGTAAATCAAGTGCTGATATTTCAATAATCTGCTGTTCACACGTCTTGACTAGTGTTTTGCACCACACTCTAAACAGACTTGGTGGAAAATTAACTTGGTGGCATTTTACTTTAGTTTATTACGGTCCTCTAAGAATCATGAGAGACATCACATAGAGTCACTTCTTTGGCAGAAAAGCCAGTAAGAGAAAAAAATAAAGTTAGAAAAACATTGCCTTCCAAAATGGACTATGATGCCACTTCAACAGTGATGATTTCACACTTTCCAGTATCTTGATCCGTGCAGGTAACATGCAAGGACCCATCCCTAGATAAAACAGAGAGTTACGTTTAGGATTATCTCAACACAACACTTACTATGTTACTGCATGTGCTAAAGAGGATAAACAATAGTCTTCACACAGATGAAGGGATGACAGGTCAGCATCAAAATATCCAGGGACAAACTTGCTTCAACACAGATTAAATTGGTTTATGAATTAAGTTTAACTTAGTATAACTAATATGCACTTCTTGACCTTAAAGCATCTATCTTCTCGACATATGCTGGAATAGAACTAGGAACACATTTAAATATTGTAATTGAATTAATTTTGTATATGTGGTAATATTATTCAAAATATTCCTTGTGAGACCTGAGTAACAGCAATGGATTAATAGACATGTCTTGTCATAGCAGGAGAACTTGACTTTTGAAGTGCAAGTAGGCTTTAAATTCCAAGTATCTCCTTCAACAAGGAAAAACTTAATTGTAAAAATCCAAGAATTAAGAAACAATATTGTGCCCTACTTCAGCTAGGCATACAGTCACACAAAATATTTAGGTACAAACAGATGTTCTCTACTAAACTTCCTCTCCCTTTTTCACCTAAATATTAGTTAAACCTCCTTCCAAATAATGCTCTTTTTCTGCATGACAGAGTTGCCAAAAAGAACAATCCCCAAAATGTTTTCCTTATCAATGCTCAGTATAAATCTCTGTATGACAAACAAGGCATTTCAGGTGAATTCTATTAACAGGCATTAATACACCTGATAGTTAACATATTTAAAGGAACTATTTTGAAACAAAAATTGCAAGCAGAAATTCCCTATGGCATTGTTTCTCTGCTAAACAACTCTGCCTCTGAAAGGACAGTCACTGTAAATTCTACAATCCTTTGTATCTAAAAAAACCAAAATCTCCTTCACTTTTTCCCAAGGGTGTGGGTGTTCAGCAAAACTACCCAACCCACTTCCACAGGAGCTTTGAGCCCCTGACTGCTCTCGAGTATGGTTAAACTGATCAATGGCTCAGAAGTTGCTAAAAATAATCTACACAATTGTATTAAGCTTTGTTTCTTTAGGAATCTAACAATGACAGCACCAAAGGTACTGCAGAAAACCCCACATTTCTACAGAATCTACCCCTGCTGGGACTCCACAGCCAATGAAATGCTGAAATTTCTCAAAAACATTTAAATATTCTGTAACAGGAGCAAAGACTGCTTGTCAGAAGTGTGGCATAGCAGGGTAAACAGCAGAACAAGTGTTTTGGGTACCTTTTCATAGTGAGAACAGTTAGTATATCATGTAGTCCATCCTCCTTTTTATCTAGATCCTGGAGTACAATCTATTAAAAAAAAAAAGCTTGATTATAATAGGTTCTTCAAGTTCTTGTGCAGTTCAAGGTAAGTGACATAACAGCTAAGATGCGAAAATTCCTGCATTTTAGCTATTTGCACTATTGTTTTTGTGGTTTGGCTCAGAATCTATCCCTGAGATAGCAAGTACCTATCACTCCCACAGTGTCCTTTAGAATCAATACTGAAATTATTAGTTAACACCCCTTCCCTATCTCCTTTAAAGATATTTGGGCAGAATTAAGCTGGAATAACAATCCTAAATATTCCATTAATTTCAGACACATCTGCCCCTTCCCCAATGCTTTCCAAGGAAAACACATCATAACTGTTTAAAAAAAGCTGTTTTCTCTCTTTAGGTTAACTCCTAACAAACAACTTTAAACCCTCACTTGATTTCATCTTACCACCATGATAAAATACTTCAATATTTAATACCTGTCCAATCTAGGAAGATCAAAAAGTAATCAACACATTAGGTATGCCATTTCTTAATCAGCTTTATTTTCAAAATGTTCAAGAATCTGTGCACTACTAGAATAACTGGTAAAGATCTCTCATCCCAGGTGATCTTATTACAGTAGTGCCAAGTGTCAAACCCTGTCAGCCATTTAGGAATTCAAAAGGGAAACTTCAGTTTCTTTACAAGGTAGTTCAATATTTTGCATATCCAGAAGAATATTTAAAAGACCAATACCAAAGAGATGAATGTCATAGTAGTTTTCTAACAACAAGTTTTGGTATTGGTGGAATTGGTTTCCATTTTTTTTTCCCCAGATCCAACTGATTTCCAGGTGGCTGCTGTTAAAGTACAAAGGAATGTGCACATACTCACCTGTGCAAATTTCTCTTCTTCACTCATGGGACTCTTCCCCAATGACTCATACAGCTCCAGGCACACAGAGGAAATATTTCCAGGAGCATGCAGGGTGTGCTGCCTTCGAGCTGGCAGGGGTGTCCCTGATGGAAACAGCACTGTGAATTTGTCAGCCCCTGACTCATCTACTCCCTTAAAGAAAATAAAAAAGAATACAGTTCATGTTTTTCTTTAAGTGCTTCACTGAGCTGGAAGTGTTACAACAATGCTCCACAAGAAAAGAAATCCAAGCTTCATTCCCTCTGTCACATTTACCATCACAGCAAGTAAAAAACCCTGGCATTCCTAGAATGGGAAGTCCAGCTATTATAGGAAAGATACCGTCTATCTCCCCTTAAAATCAGTTCTTCCTGTCAAATTTTCATCAATAAGCCTAAGTTACCATATACTGATGATCCATAGCAAACCTGTAGAAGTAACAATAAAACAATGCTGTTTTTCTAACATTAATCACACATAATAATGCTATATACTCACTGCAGTGGAAAAAAATTCTAATATTCTAAATTTAGTCTTACCTTAAGAAGAATATCTTTGGCAGAACACTCAATGAGTGCATCTTCTTCCAACAAGGTATTCTCTTTCCCTAGCAGAATTCCTGCCTCTATGGCTGCACCAATGGGAATAACTTCATCTGGAGGAATTGAATTCAGTAATTCCACAGTTGGGAAGATATCTTTGATCAGCTGCTGTAGCTTTGGGATTCGAGCAGACCCACCACAAAGAACTATCTGGAAACACATCAACAGAATAATTTCAAATCTTTACTCTGTGAAATAAAACAGGTCACACCCTGCAGTGCAGAAATGCAAACTGCTCTGGGATATTTTATCATCTGCAGTTGTTGAACTAAAACATTATGTAATTTTTGGTTGACTTCTGATACTTTTGCTTTTGAAATTAAAGGAAATATGTTTTTACGCATCTTTTCTCTTACAGCAAGAATCACCTAGATAAAGTAACACTTTGAAAATTGAAAAATTCATCACAAAAAGAACATCAGGCTGAAAGGGACTTCCAGAGGTAATCTAGTCCAACCTCCTGACCAGAACAGGGACAGTTACAACAGGCTGCTCAGGATCTTTCCTCCAGATATATATTCCACAGACTCTGTAGGCCCTTAATTCAACATCTGATTTCCATCATACTACACATTCCTTTCCTGGAATCTAAAATTTCCCCATGGTGTAACTTGTGCTGCTTGCCACTCACCCACCATGCACAGGCAGGAAGGAGCAATCCATAAATCCATGTCTTACTACAGTGACTTTGTTGAAATCAGCCAGATTGAGACACAAAGCTAACTCCCACTTTTCCTCATATAAAACATAAACCTAGTTTACAACTTTGAAGTTATTTCTTTTTACATCTAAAGTGTCCCACAGCTCTCCATCCAAAGCATTAAAGCATGAGAGCCTTAAAGGCCACCTAAAAACCACTGCCACCAGAAAACAAAAGCCATTCTTTGAACAGTGGCCTGGCATTCTTCATTATCAATCTGAGAAACTGAGATGTGACACAGCAAACAAATATAGTCTGAAAGATAAGAGTTAAGACTGAGTAGTAAGAGTCCATAACAACATCAAGTGTCACTGAAAGCACCAGGCAGCTTTAGCTGCAGACCTGATGAGCCAATTCCACCAGCAATGACTGCAGCACCATTTGCCAAGCACAACTACAAAGGGGGTGAGATGAATTTCCTCTCTTACACCAAGGCAAGAGAGGTCTAATGTCTGCTGCCTTGCTCATCATCTTTGGGATTAAAGCACTCTCTGGTCTGGCACCTCATGTGGTTTTTAAGCCAGCAAGAAGCCAGCAAGTGGACACTTAGTGATTTCTTCAACTTTAAGTCAAAACTTTGCCTTTCTTCAGAAGTGTCAGCAAACCCTGTCAATGAAGGCAGAACAAAGCCCACAGACTGAACTTAAGGAAGGTACTCCTCAGCTGGAACTTGGGCAGAGTTATACCAACACACCAAATGGAGACAAATCCTCCCCACCCACTCAATACGCAGCAGTAAAAACACACAATTGAATGTGACTCTACCTTACACTTAACTTCAAATACCTGAAATGAAAACAAATACAGCAGTTCTAAAGATCCTGAATCTATAGATTTTGTTGGATTTCAGTCAAAATTGCTTACATATATAATGAAATAATCTCAGTCTGCAAGGAAAACAGGGCCCATAAGCATTGTTCATATGGAAGTGTCCTACAGGCAAATTATTTCTATTATTACCTTATTAATATCATCTGCTGTAAATCCAACTTGCTTCAAGAGCTTTTTAATTGCTTCTATACATTTACTAAAAAGTGAAGAACAGATAAGTTCAAACCTGGCCCTAAAAGAGAAAAATAAAACATTCAAAAAAGATCATGTCATCCATTAGAGACAAATACCTGAAACAGAAGAACAATAATTTATAGAATATACTTTAGTTCTCCAGCTGGTACTAAGGGATTTTTAAAAAATCATCTTTTCCCATCATTAATCTTTAAGTGATTTTGTTGTTGTGGAAGAATCTGTGCTACTAGTTCCATCAACAACACCTACACATATGCACATTCATTCTTCACTGTACTCTACAGAAAAAAAAAAGTATTGTAGTCTTGACAACACCGGTATTGCTGTCCTGACTCATGCCAAAAAAAAAAAGAAAAATCCTGCAGCTGCCTCATGATGTTTAAAAGGGATAAAAGGACTCAATTTTTAGAGGCAAATCAAGCTGTGTCCTGATTTTCACACAGGGAGTAGATACAGCAAATTAAAAAACAAACTTGTGCTTGCTTTTGTCTCTTTCAAGCCTGCAAGCGAAGTTCTACTCTGTACGAATACAACAAATCAAAGTCTGCAACTGGCATCCTGATCCAAAAGGAGCCGACCCCAGTTATACAGTATTGCTTCTCACACTTTCAAACATGCTGTGCCTTACTTGAGCAGCTTCAGCTGCTGGAGTTTTGGAATGGAAAAGTCTGTTTCATTTTGCTAAAGCTGCTGCTGCCTGGAAGAGCAAGCAAAGTGAGCTAAAAATCTCAGTAAGAGATCATCCCAAGGGAAAAAGACTTAGCAGAACACAGCAGTAGGAACAAAAAGACAGAAAGTATCTTTCTACTTCAGCTCTGAGAGGCAACATCAAGACTTCCAGGACTCCTACCATTCTGGATCTCATTTAGATGAAGAGTCCACAAGTCACATTTTCTTTAAGGAAAACACAACAGCAAAAGCATTATGGGGAAGGAAACAGCCACCTCGATTCATTACAGTATCTACTCCCCACCCATCATAAACCAGACTCCGAAGATACAGTCTCCTTGTGCTTTTTTGCACTTCATTTTCTAACCATCAGGGCAACACTGTTAGTGTGACACATTGCAGCATAACACACCATCAACACGAAACAGCAAATCTGCCTTTTATCTTACTTCATTTCCTAAAATAAACACCACCAGAAAGCAAAGCTTACTGGATGAACATCCATGATACCACCTAGAAAGATTTCAGTACCTTCAAGATCTGCCTTACCTGGACACATTGCAATCAAAATCCAATCCATCATACAATGAATCTACAAAACAGTTTGCACTTCCCAGGGTTGATAAAGAGTGTTTTGCAATATCAGCACTGTTCATTAACTTCATCATGGCTCTGGGATTTCCTCTAATATCATGCTTACAAGACCTGTATTTAAATAAAAAAAAAGAGGATACCAGTTTAAAGAAGTGGGAATTTGATCTCTTTCCTGAAAGGAAAAACAGGTTAGAGCTCTTGACCTTTTTTTTTTGGCAAACATTTTAATACTACAATGCCACTACTGAAAGTTTGCACACATATCGACACAGCAGAGTCCACAGCTGAGCCCTTATAGTTCAACACCAACCTCAGGCAACATCCACCCAAACCAGGCACTTTCCAGTCTTCCAACTCCCCCCAAACAACTGACTGCTCTTTCAGCATCATCTTTACTTGAACCATTTCACTCCCAGACATTCTGCTAGATTGTTGTTTTTTTTTAAGTAAGATCCTGTCCTAACAGCAACATGCTTGGAATTCAAATCTTACCTCTGAAATTCAGAAGCTAAGTGTTGTGCTAGAGCTTCTGTGAAGCAAACTCCACCAATGCTGTCATCTGTATTTGTAGCAAGTACACGATATATTCCACTGTTTACTTCTATGACTGTGATAGAAAGTGATGTTCCACCCAGTTTATAAACCAGCACGTTGCTACCACGTTAAAAGAATATTGAAAGTAGCATTAATTTTGACACATTGTCAAAAGATAACCACCATGTATTGAAGGTTTCAATCAGACAAGAAGTATATGAGAATGGTAAAGAAATAACAAGCAAGAAGAGCAAGAGTTCAAACTGACAGCAGTCTTTGCTATTTTGGAAGTGAATTATCTGCATATTCATGACAACCAGAATGCACCTACTGCATTCTGCTGGAGCTCTGCTTTAGTTCTGCCAGCCCATGTAAAATAATCCCATCTCCTACTATTAAAACTAGCTATGCCAAAATATGTTTAAAAATGAATGCTATTCTTTTTAAGCCAATCAGCTTATTAAAAAGAAAGTTGGAAACTGGGGACAAATCTTTAAAGACAATTCTCAAAATATAAACACCAAAACTACAAAATTACAACTTCTAAATGCTTATTGTCTTGATTGAGAGAAAAAAGCAAAACAAGCCTCATGCTAAGGCAACACAGCATTCCCTCATTTTAAGATTTCTCTGGATTTAAGTACAGCAGTTTAAAAAGAAGTAAAACATTAGGATTTTACCTTTTCCCAGTGGGTGAATCTTGGCCAATTCCATAAGCAAGGAGAGCTGCAGATGGTTCATGAATTAATCTCATAACATTGAACCCAGCAGCTGCAGCTGCTTCCCTGCAATGAGCCATAACAGCATTTCATTTTACTTTAATGATCTCATTGCAGTCACACATTATTAAGATTTCACCTGAACTACATGTGCCATCTAATCAGACCTTGTTTATAGCATGGCATTAACAAGACTGAGTGACTGGAAGAGAACCAAGAAGGTCATTTGCTACTGTGTTCTTCAAATAATTGGATGTGCAGTGTTCTCATAGTCAAAGAAAACACTGGTCTATCAGACTACATAGTCCATAAAAACTGCAAAATACCCTGCAACAACCTGCAACAATCAAGCTTGCTAACTTATCTTCAGGTGTGGTATTAAAACTCCTTGATACATTATTTCAACAGGTAACAAAATTAATTCACCGTGCCTCACTTGCAACATTTAACTTACATGTTTTCTTAAAACTTTAGTTGCCTGGGAACACGCCATGTCTTGTTTCCACCAGTTTGAAGTTATACCAGAGCAATAGAAGGTTTCACAGACACTGCAAATCCCCAGCTTGCTGTTGTTCTCTGACCAACTTTTAGGCGTGCTGTATTTCTTTCATGGCATTTAAATGTAAAGGCTGCCATTTATGCTCAGCTTTAAACATGCTTCCGTTTTCTTACTGAGGAACTGTTACAGCAAGGTGTTTCCAAACAGAATTTCCAAGTAGAAAACTGGTATGTATTACATATCTGTTTTCTGACAAAGCAGACCTCAAGAGGTCATGTAGCACCACTTTGGGGACTATGAAGGGCAGGGAGGGGAAATTATGGAGGAGGGTGAGAAACTATTAGCATTTCAAAGGGGTCACTGAAGATTCTGATCTGAAATGAGGTTCTATCCTTGATGCAATCAAAACTTCCTCTCACTTCAGTGATTCAGAATTTCCTTTTGGTCACATCAGCAAATTCCATTAAATGTTTCTCAACTCAGGATTTAATCTCTTGCTTTCGTATTTTCCAAGCTTAAATAACATGCCAATATCTTGACTGACAGTCACAAGTTGAAGTCCAGCAGCAGAATTCCCACTGCTGATCTTCCAGCCTCTCTGTTTTAAGCCCATAAAATAACAGAAAAATCTCAATGCTCTTACCCAAGGGCACTTTTCTGATTCTCTCCAAAATCAAATGGCACAGTGACAACAACATCATTCACATCTGAACCCAGTGCAGACTGGGCAGTCTCTGTTTAGAAACATAAGCAGAGCATGGTGAGTAAAAGCAAAAAAATAAAAAAATGTCTGACATCTTAAAAATGAAAGGACAGCTTAAAAAGCTAAAGCGTGTTATGAATTTAATTATTATATACCTTTCATTTTACTGAAAATTAGTTTTGCCACATCTTCTGGGTTAATAAGTTTGTTATCTATTTCATACTGAAGTTTTCCATTCTTCTCACTTATCTGTAAGCAAAACCAACATACCTCTGTTAGACAGTAATTTGGTTAATAACAAAAAGTAATGTTTAATTTAGGCTCTGTTTAAAGTAAAAAGCACTGGGCTGTGTAAACACTCTCTGCATTAGTATTCTACTACAAGGGAATAAACACTTTCAAGATGCTTAACAAAGATCACAAAAAGACCTGTAGCATATGACAGACACAACAGGAACATTTAAGAACTTAAGAGTCCAGACTTTCCCTTTCTATTAAGTTTTTCTGAGTACAAAAGCAATGTTTAGAACAAAAGTACACTCCTGGTTATATTCCATAAGAAAAACCCAAGCTATTTCTAAAATCATACCAACATGAACAGTCAAAACCCAGGGAAAACTTCACTCTTTCATTTTGAATATAATTCCAAGGATAATTTTCTCCTGTTCTGAAAAATTTTCTAGCAACAAGGACAATATTGTGCAAATTAAATAGTGAGATTAAAGCAACTGGCTAAAGATGTTAATCACAAGGTGCTGCAACTTGAGTATCTTCCACCAGCTCTAAGAAAAACCACAATGCTAAAACCTAAATCTATCAGGATCCATCCCTTTGGAGAATGGCCAAGAGATAAAAAAAATTCTGTTGGAACTAACTATATCATGATATAGAGAGCTGATCACTACAGAACATGAACATGGTGTGGCCCAAACAATGTCAAGGAAAGCATAAAATTATACAAATCATCATACTCACAGAGCATTTGCTTTCTGCAATATATTTCTTTGCCTGAGGGTCACCAGAGCTGTCCATAAAAATTCAAAATAACAAAATTAATCACATATTTAAAGTTAACTAGACAAGTGCATCTTGCTGATATACCTTTTAAGATCTCAAACACATCAAGCTATATTTGAACTGAAATTCCTGTTTTCACTCTACAGTTACATTTACAGAGTAGAAGAAAAACCAGTTAACTGATGTCAACTTT